AACCTTCCCGTACAGTTCGGAGAGCACTGAATTAGAATGAGTGGTTTACCACCACATCATTCCGATCCCCAGATGATCGTGTTAGGTGACTTGTGACCTCGTACGATCATGTCGGGTGAGGAACAGCCGCTTCGTCACAATACTGACTTATAGGCTAATGGGTTCTGTCTCTGTTCATTTAAACTCGGATCTTTTTGAACTTAAGAAAATTAGAAACTCAAAGTTCATCCTCTAAAATTGTTTAGCCAAACGAAATCGAAAAAACGATTGTTGCTACTATTCGAACAGCCGATCTCTAAATCGCCCTATGAAACGATTGTTACAGGATGAATAGTTTTGAAATGTAAACGATTATTCGAGAAACATGTTAAAACGTAACAGTGATGGCAGAAAAAAATAAGGAAGAGATATGGTACCATACCTGTCCCAAGAACATGTCACACTGTTTCTGTTGGCCATGAGACAGCCAAAAAGCTTCAACATTTTGTTGACTAAACCATAGTCAATGTATACATAAAAATCATCATTTCTCCAATAAAACAAAAAAACATTCATTTTACTTTCAATCATGTGGTCTGCAACATTCTGACATGAATCAACCCGTTTTTACGGGTTGTTAAAGAAAAATCAAGTTTCATTTATTCTTAGATGGCTACAAATTTTAACCGGATGATAATTTAGATTAGTGGTGTTTATTTACATAGTGACTAATTATTGTCATAAAGTATAAAAGGTACAGCTCATGACATGTCATTCAAGATTAAAGGTCTTCATTTCGAGACTATATAAAGTCATGTATGTTATTTTTGTAAAAAAAAAACATGAAAAATGTAATAAAAATATCATTTGTGCTTTCGTTTAGCCAATGACTAGGTTTATTCATAGTTTAGGTTGTATGTAGAATCATTCAAGCTTGACATGATCAGTCTTACTTGTGAATTGACTCGAATCTCAAACAATTGTTCTTACCTTTAGATATTCGATAATCTGAATCTTGCATCCCTTGCAATGATTATTTATTATTTGGTATTAGAGTCTTGTCACATTGTTTTTATATCATTTTTGTTAAAAACAAAGCAAATTATCACAATGTAGTTGATGATTTTACTCTACAAAGATATGAAAAAAAAAATTGCAAAATACGCAAAATTTTGAATTCACGTTCGAAAAATCTAAATATTTCTCCTAAAATCTTAGAGACTAACATAATAAACAGTGTTTTACCCCTAGATGTCCAGTCAACTCCCACGCCTCAGCGCATTTCAGGGAGACCCAACTAGCTCTAGGTTCGAGTGACATTTCACCCCTAACCACGACTCATCCGCTAATTCTTCAACATTAGTCAGTTCGGACCTCCACTTAGTTTCACTCAAGCTTCATCCTTGTCATTGATAAATCACCCAGGTTCGGGTCTATACGCGGTGACAATTACCCCATAAAGATTCGTTTTCACTACGGCTCCAGTGGGTTCCCTTAACCAAGTCACTCCCTATGAGTCGCCGACTCATTCTTCAACAGGCACGCGGTCAGAGTCCAAGTCTCCTCCCACTGCTTGGAAACTTACGACAGAGAAGAATGAAACTAAAGAAAATAAAAATATATTTACCATTCTCATCGTAAAACAGAAATTATTTATTTGCTCGGATCATTATATTGTTACTCGTGCCTAAATCACCGTTACTACAATTTTAATATTTCATAAAGAAAATAAATTACAAATAGACGGATTTTTTTAATGTGTAGAATAATAAATAATTAATTATAATAAAAAAAAATAAAAATGTGCCAACGAACATTCAAATCCACCGAACCCTAGAAATAAAGTGGAAGAAATGACAGGTAACATGGCCACATCGAAAATAATGATTAAATTGGTGACCCTTTATGTAAATTTATATAGTAAATAATCATTTAATTTTTTAAAATTATTTATAAGATTAAGCTAAAAAAAAATATATGACATCACTAATGCAAAATTTGTCACATTATAAAATATTATGGTCGATTTTATTTTATTTTTATTTCTTAATTTAATTATTATTTAAAAAAAAAAAAGTGATTAAAAAGAACTATAATGATTAAACTCGGTTGGTTGGTGTAGTAGCAACATCAAAATATTTAAATACAATATAGAAGTAATAATTATCCAACCACTATCCTATAAATTTTTTAAATCACTAATTTAAATTCAAACATTATCCATTAATTATTTTTCATTTTAATAATTTAGATATTGACAAAAATAAAATAAAATAAATAAATCCCACAAATTAGGAGAGGAAAATGTCCATTATCGTCATTTGGGCCTTTTTTTTACTTTTTTTTTTATATGGGCTCAAAAAAATATCCAGCCACCATTTTCCAGTGTTTTTTTTTTTTTTTTTTTTTTTTTTTTTTTTTTTTTTGTTATATTTTATTT